ATTTATTAATCACAAGTTAAATAAGTTACTTATTATAATATGAGTTATAATTATATTTTTAAAATAAAAATAAATGTATTAACTGATTTTTTAAATAAAAAATAAATTTAAGAAATTAATTGAGATAATTAAATTTAAATATTGTTTTTTATGTTCAAATTTATGTTAAGTGTCGATTTTGGTCCCTCAATTTTAAGGTTTTACACAATTTTCATTTCTCAACTTTTTTTGTATAATTTTTGGTCCCCCAACTATGACAAATATATCTTTTTAATCTTTCTGTCAATTAATCTATTAAATTTATCTAATTAAACATATTTTTAATCGCTTAACTTAAAGTTAAGAGGCAACAAATATGCATATATTAAAAGTTGAAAGATTGAAAATATGCATATTTAAACAAATTTAATAGATTACCTGATGAAAAGATTCAAAAGTTAATTTTTCATAATTTAAAGACCAAAAAAATGCATAAAAAGTTAAAAAGGATAAAAATTATACAAAATTTTAAAGTTGAGGATCAAAATTGACATTTAACCTTAAATTTAAATATTGTTTTTCGTAGTTATGGTGATGGATGAATAGAACTTCATATTCGCAAGTCTATGGACCATTATTTATCACACAAAAAAAAGGCCAATGGACATTGGATTGGATGTCCGCGTCAGTTTGTTTTCATGTGTACAGTGTACTAGGAGTACTTTGGAAGATCTATTGATTTTCTACATTTTTTTTTCTCTTAGATTGGTGAAAAAAATAGCTTAAATGTGAATTTTGCAGTAATTTGTACACTTTTTATCCTTTAATTAATTATAAACATTTATATTTACAGAAGAAATTAGTTTATGGAAGGATTTCGCGTATATCTAAACGTTAAGAGATAAAAAAAATTATTAAATTAATTTAAGGACAATAAGAATAAAATTTAAAATTTTAAAATTAAAATTAACATTTAACCAACAAAATGTACAATAAACATCTCATTTGCAATTATTTCTTGTTTAGAATTTTTTTTTGATATTATCGATTTTGAGATTTTTTTTTCACTTTTAATTGACATAACATAACTTCTTATTACTTTCATCTTAGTAAACATTTTCATATTTAAAATTAAATGATGTATATCTTAACTCTTTTTAATTAAAGAGACTATTAGTCTTTATTGTAAAAAATTAAGCGGATGTGACTCTAAAAAAGACGGTGGGTTTTGTGTTTTTGGGTCTAGGTCAGGAAATGCATTAGGAACACCAAATGGTGTCACTTGAGATGTAGGTGCCCTGACATCGGCTTCACCATTATGATTTCCAATATCATTTTCCGTATAAGATGACGAAAAAACTCATCAAATCTAAGAATGGTGTTTGCGGGCTTCAAAAATATTTGTAGAAAAACACACCATTTGCTGCTAGAAAATCATGAGGATGTTGGAAACAGCAACAGGAGGACGTCGTTTGTGACTTTGTGGTTGATCATCGGCAACTTAAGGGTTGGTTCTAACAGAGAAAAGGGAGATCGTGGATGTTGAAGAAGGTGAAGGGAGAATAAGGAGAAAAGAGAAGGAAAAAAATTAGAGAAACAAGGTCCAAAATAGCGTTGTTTTTAAGTTTTATTCACCCTTTTCTTTTCTTTTTTGTAGTATATAGGTTAATACCCAATATTTTCTTACGCATGTTTGACAAAATTTCTGTCAAAACAAAATGGTGTCGATGTATTATTGAAAAGATTAGGTATAATTTGGTAAAAGATGTTGAAAATTTTGTTTAGTTTTTATTATTTCACAATTTTTTTATTCAAAATCAATAATCTAATACGAAATTGGTAGTACCTTGCGCCGAACTTTGATGTGCAGGTCGCTTGTGGAATGGAAATTTAAACTCAGTGCTCTGTACAGCTTGCAATTGCCTGGATTCGGATGGGTTCAAGTAAGTCATATTCAAATTTAATTAAGATTATCTACTTTTTCTTGTTTTAGTAAAGAATGTGAACCATTTAAATAATTTAATAATATTTTTTTTATTAAAAATAAAAAATTTTAAATTTAAATTACATGACATATAAGTAGAACAAGTTAATGAATAAAAAATATTGTCTCACAATTCAAAATAAAAGAAAAAATTACATGTAACGACAGGAAGTGGGCAGAACCTCAAGTTTGAATCAATATATAGCTGATGGGGAAAAAAAATGCAAAAATCAATATATAGCTAAAGAAAAGTTGAAATATAGTATTAGCTTGTACGGAACTTATTTTCTGAATTTTTCTTTATGTATCTCACAATTTTATTTCAATATGTTCAATAAAAAGGTTTAAACTTTTAACTACCATTAGATGTGCTAAGTAACATTAATTAATATTATATATTGAATAGTTTGTAAATATTAATATCTCATATCTAAAAAAAATAAAAATAAAAACTTAAAAAAATTTATAAAAACCTATTCATCATTAATAAATTATAGAGTAAAATAAAACCCAAAACTTGTGAACTTTGACTTTAGGCATTGCTCCTTTTATACATAGTCATTTATATGGGCACTTGGGGCATCTTGGAACTTCACCTATCAGAATTTTGTTTATTATTTTTATATTTTTTTAATTTATCTTATTAAATTTAAAATTAGAATAACATATTTAAAATTCATATATAATTTTTGACAACTAAATGATATCTCTATAAAATTATGTTTTTTTATAGGGATATATCCTTATAAATAGTGATGGCAATATAAATTTCTTTACAAAAATTAAAATTTTATATCTAATTCTGAGAAAATTTTTTAATTTTATTGTATTTCAAAAGATTTTAAATCTTCTAAAAAATGAAATTACATTTCAAAAGTTTCTTTTCAA